AATAACATCGATATCCCTTTTGCGTTCTCGAGTAACCCAGAAATATGCACTTAAGAGCACGAGGAGCTAACTTATCTTTTCCTGGAGTAAGGTCATGAACAAAGCACGTACTCCCAAAGACACGGGGTGGAAGAGAGAACAAAGGTAAGTGGGGAAACAGGACAGAGAATGGAACTTGATTTTGGATAGCTGAAGATGGCATACGATTAATAAGATAACAAGATGTAAGAACTGCATCCCCCCAAAAACGCAGCGGAACATGAGATTGTATGAGTAGGGTACGAGCAGTTTCAATAAGATGTCTATTCTTTCTTTCAGCTACCCCATTTTGTTGGGATGTGTACGGACAAGATGTTTGATGAATAATCCCATGGGAGTTCATAAACTGCTGAAATGGGGAAGACAAATACTCTAGGGCATTATCACTACGAAATGTGCGGATAGAAACCCCAAATTGATTTTGAATTTCAGCATGGAAGGTCTGGAAAATAGAAAACAACTCAGATCGATTTTTCATCAAAAATATCCAAGTGCACCTGGAATAATCATCAATGAAACTGACAAAGTAGCGGAATCCTAAGGTAGAGCTAACCCGACTAGGACCCCAAACATCTGAATGGACTAAGTAAAAGGTGACTCTGCTCGATTGTCAAGACGCCGCGGGAAATGGGAGCGGGTATGCTTACCGAGCTGACACGACTCACACTCTAGAGTGGACAAGTGAGATAAGACAGGTACCATTTTCTGAAGTTTTGATAAACTGGGATGTCCTAACCGTTTATGTAATAAATCTGGTGAATCAGTAACGGGAGAAGTTATTGGAGGAAGACAAGATGCGAGTCCATGTGATTTTGCAAGGATAAGGTAATAAAGTCCATCTGATTCACGTCCAGTACCAATGATCCGCCCTGTACTGCGTTCCTGTATAAAAACAAGGTCATCAAGAAATAAAACAGCCGATTTAAGTGATTTGGCTAAGCGACTAACGGCTATGAGATTAAAAGGACTACCAGGAACGTAAAGAACTGAGTCTAAAGGTTAGGAAGGAAGTGGACTTGCTTGACCTATTGCAGTTGCCATGGCTTGAGACCCATTGGCCATTGTGACTGTTGGAAGAGATTGAGAATATGAGATACTAGTGAAAAGAGATTTGTTACCAGAAATATGATCAGATGCACCTGAATCAATGACCCAAGACTCAGAGGGTGTAGATTGGGAGACACCGGTCATGCTACTATTTGTTGGAACGACGGAGGTTAATCCTGAAGATGTCTGTTTACGTGCTTTATACTGAAGGAACTCAATATAATCCGGTAAAGAAACCATCTGGATTGGATTTATTGCATTTAATCCAACGGATTGTGAGGCAAAAGCTTCAGGTATTAATTCCATTATAATATTATGCCGGAAAAAAAGCAGAAAATCGCTGGGATCACTGTTCACGCCGGAAAAATCATTGTAGCTCGCCGGAAAATTCCAAAGTGGTTGGAATTGAAAAATAAAATTATGGGTTGGCTCGGAATTTAAGGACGATCCAACTGCCCTGAAGGAGTTTCATCAAAAAATGGCCGGAAGTGGGCTCACGCGCTGGCGCGTGGGTGTCACGCGCTCGCCGGAAATATTCTTCTGCCGGCGCGTGTGGGCGCGTGGCAGCTTTTCTGCCGGAGAAATTTTGAAGGGTTGGTCGCCGACGAGTGATCTACCTCGTGGTGGTGTTGGTTTTTTTGCACAACACCGATAGAAAGTGACTTGATTACGGGCAGCCTTCTAAGTCGCCGGAAAATTGCACGGCGACGAGGTCTTTCTTCCCGGAAGTCGTTGGAATGATGCACAGCGATATGTTTCTCACTAATGCTCTGATACCATGTGAGAATGCATGGGAGAAAAATATTATTATTGATTAATTGACAATGCTACAATGAGCCCTATATATACACACATAACATATCCTACTCCTAATACATATTGGATTAGGGTTAGAGTTATTTACTCCTATTTACACGACTATTTTAACACTGATCAATGTTATAAAACGTCTGGGCATGAGGCGAGACGTTTTATCTAATGTGGGGCAACACCCGATGCATGGGGCGTAAGCCCCGTGGGTATTTTATTTTTAGTTATAAATTAATAAAATAAACCAGAAAAGGGTCAAAATTGCCCTTGTACTATAGGAAATAGAACAAGTTTACCCTTCGTTAAAAGTTAGTATCAAAACTGCCCATGTCTTGACCAAAATGGCTCGCTTATGCCCTTCTCGACTTACAGACTCTTTTTTCAGAATTTTTACATTCTTATCCTTTTCTTAATCCTATTTAAAATGCCACATATCCTAATGAAACCCCCCCCCCCCNNCCCCCCCCCCCCCCACCTTTTTTTTACCACTCGCTAACTGCCCTTAGTATATCGGAAATAGCCTCTCTATCCCACATGGTCGGGGTAAGGTCTGTGTACACACTACCCTCCCCAGACCCCACTTGTGGGATTATACTGAGTTGTTGTTGTTGTCACTACCTGCCGTTACTTTTATACTCCACCCAACCCTTTATTTTAATGTATGTTTTTTTTTTCTCCTCTTTCTTCTTCCTCTCTTTTCAACCTCCATTAAAGAACTTCACTACAGCTCGGGAAAGACCCCAAAAATTCATTTTGGTGGTTCTATTGATAGTTAAAGCAAACTAGGTATTTATTATACAAAATTCAATGTATTTACCCTACTAATAAGAAAACAAAAATTAAAAAAGTCGAACATATTTCTACTCCTGCTTTTAGGTGAAAAGCCAATCAAACATTGAGAACCAACTTGACCTGCAATTGCTAATTTTGTGGCAAAAGAAGATAAGATTTAAAAATAAAATATAGTTTTATAAACAAATTCATTTGACTTCATTTGATGGGTTTAGTAGCTTCGCTTCAAGAAAATTGGAACAAACAAGAAACTAATAATTTTTTTAATAAAAAAAGAATAAGAAAAAAAAATTATTATCCTCCATCTTCTTTTTTCTCATTTATTGTTTCAATCCTTTTCACAAATTCAACCAAAAAGCAAAGCTTATTATTCCAATAATGAGTTTTGCAACGAGCTTAATTCATTTGTCTCAATTTTATATTTATTCCTATTCAATATGTTCACAATAATTCAATTTGGTGGAAGAGAGGTTGATGAAGCTCTTCAATGGAGGTTTAAAAGAGAGGAAGCAGAAAGAGAAAGAAAATGAAAGAGGAGAAAAAAAGAAATAAAAACAAAACTAAAATAAGGAACTGGGGTGGGGTATAAAAGTCAGGTGGGGAGAGGGAGGGGGAGGGGGAGGGGGACTGGTAAAAAAAAGGGGGAGGGTGATTAGGACATTTTAAATAGGATTATGAAAAAATTTGAAATTTAAAAATTCTGAAAAACGAGTGTGTAGTCGAAAAAGGCATAAGCGAGCCATTTTGGTCACGACAGGGGCAATTTTGATACCAACTTTTAACAGAGGGTAAAATTGTTCTATTTCGTATAGTACAAGGACAGTTTTGACCTTTTTCCATAAAATAAACTTATAAATAAAAAATACATTAAAATTATCGAAAATTATAAAATTAGTAGAAAAATGTATATATCTATTATAAACATGATAACATGTGCACAAACCTCACAAAAGAATTTTTTTTCTTACTTGAAAAAGTGAAAGATGTAAAGATGCATTACACCTATAACATGATTATGATAGAACATGCTTACAGTTGTAAAAATAATACTCAAAGTTCCTAGTAATTCAAAGAATAAAAATGACAATAATATACGGTTGTTGTTTGGAAACCTAGAACTATAAAACAAATCACAAATACTCATTATAATACAATAGTCGAAATATAGTCTTTAAAATAATATTTAAACTAGGGTGCTACCCAAAAATTTCTAAAACCAAAAACTAACTTGAAAAGAATAAATTAAAGAATGCAAAAAACAAAACAAAAAATTGAAGAAAATGAAGCATAAAGAAGGAAAGTGCAAGTGAGGAAGCAGAAAGTGTTGGAGGACAAAAACAAAGGTCGAAAGAGTATTTGTTACTCTGTAAATGAAAAAGATATAAAATTGCAATATTAAGATAAATAATTAGAGAAGACCTTGGAGTTCTGAGTTTTTTTAGTTTGAGAACTTACTATGAGTTAACTTTGAATACTTCAGTATTAGAAAAATAATTTACCAAGTGATTTTGGCTCAAATTTGAAAAAGTTCTCTGCACTTACGCCGCAAATGTAACGCCAAGAACGTTGGGATTTATGCCTAAGCAAACGCTCCGAAGGTTCGGACTTATGCCTCACTATACTTGTGCCCCGCCAGTACGCCTCGGTGCCTTTTTGGTACGCCTCCCAGGCTCGCCCAGAAAATTTAGAACACTGATATTGATGTATAGGGAAGCAATAGTACAATTAATTTGTAATGATAATAAGAGTAATAATTGGGGAATAATTCACCCTACCTTGTTGACCCCAACTTTTTTGGGACTAAAGGTAGTTGTTTATTTGGAGGAGTAAAGTATTTCTGTATTACACTCTTGCTATATCAGTGCTTAGAATTGGCTATCCAGATCCAACCATGACATTAGAGGCAGTTTAGTTACAGCTGCAAAGTATTTCTGGAAAATCTAGGGGGTGATAATAAGGAAAACTTGGAGAGTGGTGATCATTGTGATTTATAAGGGCAGCCCGGTGCACTAAGCTCCCGCTATGCGCGGGGTCCGGGGAAGGACCGGACCACAAGGGTCTATTGTACGCAGCCTTACCATGCATTTCTGCAAGAGGCTGTTTCCACGGCTGGAAGAGTTTTAATATCAATTAGACTCAGCTTATGAGACGTCTCTGTTTGTAGTCTCATTTGAAATCCCATTGGTTCTGTAACTGAGATTCAAAATCATGAAAGAATATGTCTTCGTTGACTCTCTGTTAATGCAAGATTGATATGCATTTTCCAGGTGACTCTTTGTCTTTAGATTTTATGTTCTTTCTTCTTTTCCCAGACTGCAAGGCCGGAGTATAATCAGATCATGGTGACGAAGCCAGATTGGTGGCCTTACTAGATAGACTGCACCTGCAGGGTGTTTTCCGTGTCTACTTGAAGTGTATGGGTTGCTCTGTTCATTCTTTTCTAAAGTGCAGTCAGATGTCTGGATCCGATATTGAGATTTATTCCTCCTTTTCTTTTCCTTTGTCATATGTTGTCTGAACTAGTTAGTTATATGGGAGAAGAAGATTTCTTTTACTAGGGAGCTTTTTGTTCTTTGAAATATGAAGAATTAATGGAATGTAAATTGGTTTTCTTGTTTTGTCCCTTCATTTTCCATTGGGGGTAGAATGGGTAGTTGATTTGATATTGTTAACAGAGAGTCGAAGTTTGAAATCAGGATTTTATGGGAAAGAATTCCCACTAATTTAAGTTGTCTGGTCATACTGAAATTCAGCAAATGCATATTGGGTCTGATCATATATGTATTACCTTATTCAACATGTAATACCATCTTATATCTCTTGGATGTTTGACATTTAGGGGTTGTTTGGTAGGGGAGCGAGTTATCCGAGATTATAATTAGGGGATTAAGTAGTGACAGGATTATTCAGTAAAAATGGGATATACATGGAATAATATAAACATGTATTTGGTATACTAAATAAGTTGGGATAAATTTTTATTTTTAATTTTAACCTTGGTTTGTTTAAAAGACGTTGGTGTAGGGCCTTGCATAAAGGCATCCTCGTCATTTTGATGTTTATCTCGGGATTAATCAATCGGGATTAGATCATGCAATGGACAACTTGACTAGCTAATCATTTTTTAATAAGTATTCTTTCCATCTAATAATGTTAATAGTATTGGTCTAAAATCATAAGGAAATGTTCAAAATAAAATTTTCCCATTTAAAGGAGGAATGTAATATTTATTTATTCATTTACTCTTCTCATATGTTTGTGTATGTCATTTTATTTTTCCTCATAAAAATTGACACAATCAATCATTTTAATTTACATTTCTAATTATGTTATGCTGATAGTTTTTAATTACATACGATAATAAAAACAATTCAAGAGCAAGCATATTTTTGAATGATACATTACATATCTAGATTTTTAAGACGATTTACTAACATCCAATAACTAGCAATGTTGTGTCTTACTACTCTTTCGTTTTTTATAGTGCCGGGTATATGTACTGTTTATCACTTTTGCTTTGTATCTACTTTCTCATTTTCATGATGTTATTTTTCTTACGGTTTTTATTGGTGGCACTGATATTGCCCTTTTTCGTCTTTTTAAGCCGAGGGTTTTTCGGATACAGCATCTCTACTCCCTCGGGGTAGGGGTAAGGTCTGCGTACACACTACCTTCCCCAGATCCCACTGTCGTAGTTGCTGCTGTTGTAACATCCAATAACAAATATAATAGTGTCCGGTCATTATTAAGCACCGTATTATAGTATCTGCATTACATTGAAATTCATATGCAATTACATCCATAATAAAACTTCACAGACGAATTTAGAGAGATTGAATAGTGAGGTTCGTAGCATGGAACAAGTAAATGTGTAACTTCCTCATTACATGGTCAACACCAATTGTTCAATATATATACTCACTCTTATGCTATCGAGCTTGACAAATGAGCACAAATATACATTCTCTTTTCTTTTCTTTCCTAAAAGAAACACAAATATATATATATATATATATATATATATATATATATATATATATATATATATATATCCTCCTCCTTCCTTTCTTTTCTTTTCTGTTGTTTATTCTTTTGATTGATAAGTAACATCAATATCTATCTCAAATTCAATTAAAAGTCATTTGAACATGAGGACGCTTAGCACAATTGCTGAACTTGTTGTACTTCATCTGACCTGAGGCTCGTGCTGCCCATAGTATTAAGAGTGTCAGTGGATTGGGCACTTCAATCACCAACACCAGCTGCTTGAGCTCTTTAGTCTGCAACACAAGCAGCAGTAACAGAACATGCATTAAAGAGATAATACGCTCTAATCAAACAAGGTCACTTTATTGGGGCAGGAGGTAACAAACACAACTTCCAATCTCTATATACTTTTTCATGCTTCAGCATTGTTGAGGCATGTTTTAGGGTCTCCTTTTCACGAAATAGCAAATGCTTCTTCAGGTGTAACTCACAAAGTTGTTCTAACTATCACGCATCATTCACCAGAAAACCAATATATTCCCTTTCTTGGTTAGTTGAAGTCAGTAATGCACTTCTATAATAAGTTATCCCAATACTTGTACCTGTTTGTTCGAGACTCGTTACAGTTTTCATCTTCAGTTGAAATAATCCTTTGATTTGATCAAATTACAGGTCTGTATACTCCAAGTTAATACTTCTTACAAGTTACTGGTAGAAAATACAAAACTACTACCTACCATCATGGCCATAATTCATTTCATAAGGTAAAACTCTTAGATATTTAACGGGTCACCAGAATTCTGTAGCTTCCAACTAATTAATTGCACAAAATGTTGGCTATATAAGCAGTTAAAAAGAACAATAACTTCCTGATAATTAGTTGCATAAGTTGTCATTCCAGCACAAATACCTAAAGCAGTTCTTTTTTGATGAAGTACCTAGAACAGTTCTTTAATTTAATTTTGCAGAGCCTCTTGGCTGACAATTGTAGTAATCTTGCACCTTATCATATGACACTATATACATTTAAACAACACAGTATAAACTGGTGCTCAGGTTTGTAAAGACATGCCATTATTTCATTAGGAGACACCTATGAAAGGGAAATCCCTCTTCATGATTATAAAAACTTAACTTGTATGATCTTTTTAGAATACTTCCACTCTGTTTTTGAGACATATAAAGATGCATGAAGATCAATGAAGAAAGATGAGATACACAACAAGCAATGAGAAGATAGAAAGACAGAACTTCAAATTTAAGAAAGTTACCTTTACCATCCAGAACAGTTTTCCTGATGTGAGTGGCTGCTGAATAGATGTCTTTACTCATTGCTTACTTACACTACTATCAAGTCATAGGGGACTGTGAAACAAGTATCTGGCATAACGGGAAGAGAGAAATTGCGTATCTGATTCAAACAGTTTTAACTTCCTACATACCATGTCTTCGTTTAAGTGGGAATATTCTAATAATCCCAGCTCCACGCATTTGATGCTACGCAACACTGAACCTGAGGAGAACACAAGAGCCCTTAACTTCACAGAATTATGTTCCATGGTCACCAGAATTTGCCTTGCGAAAAACCTGCAATACTACTACGTCTGCAGAGAGAGAGAGAGAGAGCAAATAAATTATCAGAAATCTGCAAAGGTATAGTTATTAATTACAAAGAAATATAGAATTGCTTTAAAAAACTAGAGAATGAATAACCAACATATGTGCAAAGGAACTACGAGGCAAATGAGCAAGCATCCAGATCATGACCTCCCTTTACCGACTATCGTCTACCAGAGAGATAGATGCAAACCTTCAAAGAAAACATTGCTTCATACAGGAGATTTGGAGGTTAAATTGTTTCTGATAAACAATTCAGAGGGCTCTTGGGAGATGATAAATAAACAGTTAATTCACCAATTGTTTTCAGACTTAACATATTACAAAGTGACAAGTCAACCTTGTCAACTGAAATGCATTTTCAGAAGAACATAATGACTTAAAAGGATTTTGTACATCTCCAGCAATGGAAATAAATTTACAGGCAACTGTTATTGATTTTCAGAAAGGTACAAACTGATGATTCTTGTAATTATAGAAATGAAGATGCTGGCTGGTAGTTCAGAATAAAATCATCCCTCTCTCTCAAAGTTGTTATCACCAGGTGGCATCTTTCTTGTTTCTGATAATGATAATCGCCTGGGTGTTGTGGAGGTTGCTTCAACAATCCCTTCTGAAGTCAAAGTCAACGCACCAGTTCCTGATGATGAACCCAACAGACGCCGAACGGAAGGATCATCAGTAGAAGATGAAGCTGATATATTATAAGTGAAAACCCGCATTGGGTGGTCAAACTTGCAACTCGGTCCAAATTTGCAGATCCCATATCGGGAATAGAAAATACACATTGGTTCTCCCTAGAAAACAGAAATAAGGAACAAAACAAAAGAAAAAATGTTCAGCACAATCAATGCTCATGATTATCTAAAAAGTTCAGAGAATGAAATGGGAGGAACAGTTCTACTTTGCCTTTCCATTTCAACTTAATCTTTATCCTACTTCTTTACTTTTTCTTTGTTATTTTTAATAATGATCAAAGTGGCCAGGGCACAGATGCAGGTACAAAAGCTCGCACAAAATACCGATAAGCTGACATGTAAACCCAGGTATTCTGATATAACAGAAAAAGGCAAACAAACAGTTCAAGAAAATACAGATGAGATTGAATGCTTCAATTGTCAAGGAACGTGTGATTATAAAAAACTAAGCAGATTTTTGTCTAGGATTCTTATGGGGACAAGGCTCCTGCCCTAGAAGGATTCGTGTTAGCTTTCTTCCAAAAAGGTTGGGAGGTTGTTAAAACAGAGATCTTGAATGTTTAGTTCCTTCCACCAAAGAAGATCCTAAAGAAGTATGATAGTGAAGAACTAAGGTATTACATGCCCATCAATCTAGTAGGAACATATATGATATTTTTAAGCTTCTTACAGAGAGGTTGAAGTTGGTGATTGCTACGTTGATCTCTACTACTCAGAAAGCATTTTTAATGGAAAGGCAGATCGGAAATGGCTGCTCAGGGATTCTATGTATATTGGACTTCAGGAAAGGCTTATGACTATGTAAATTAGAGCTTCCCAGCTCCAAGAATCTTAAGAACGGGTGATCCGTTTCTGTTATAATTGGTAATGGAAGGCTTAAACTAGATGATCAATACTGCCTAGGCCTTCAATGGGTTAGTAGCTTTTCAGTTGGATCTGGAAAAAAGTAATTTGTTGAATATATCATGTATACTTTATGCTACTGATAGTCTTTTCTTTTATGAACGAATTCACACAAGAAAAAAAGAAATACAGAAAAGATAATTGCGGAGACCACCTTTCCATAGTCCGCCGATAAGTACACCAAATATAAGAAAGAAACAGACACCACTTAATCCTATAATTTGATCAATCCAGCTTTCATGCATGACATAGAATCAATCTCTAGACCAATTTAAACCACTATCTTTATCAGAATGAAAAGCATCCAACTACTAATTCCATCAACGGAAATAGTCTATATCTATTTCCGAAGATTAGCCACATCAGCGTCAATAAGCAATTGCGTGAAAGGGCATCATATAAGAAACTAAAAAGTTGACACAAAACAAGCATGGAAATTTAGATAGAAAACTAATATTTGAACTGACACAAGTATTAAAACAGATGGCAAATGTTTTAACTCACAGGGCGCAGAGGGAGACCAATAGGACTCAACAGACAATCAGGAGGAGGAAGGAGCCTTTCCCTTGGATGATGGAATCTACAAACAGCACCAAACTTACAGTCTCCGGTCTTCATGTAAAACTGGCAGTCAGGCTGGCCCACTCGTTCAGGGAAAACATTTTCTCCCTGTAATGCATAATACCCCACAGGTAAAGAACTGGCACGATATGAGGAATTCATTCCTTCTGATCCCATGGTTGGTTTATCACTTGAACGTGAACTCCCATAAACCTGGTTGTTTCCTGCTGTCTGTTGTTGGCCCTCAGCGGATGAAACTGAGCCAAGCTGACCCTAGAAACAATACCATCTCTAAGCAATTCAGAATCAACGCAAGTATCAGGCCACATATTGGATGCAGCACTCACAAGCTTGTTCAATACAAGAACATATGAGACAACTGTGACGATAAATGATTGCAACACCTTGCTTGAATATATAGCAATAAGAAAACGAAGACATTAGTTGAATTTGTGAAGACTCCTACTTGTTTTGAGCTCAGAGGGCTCTCCTTTCCCATCCAGGTTACATCTCCTATTAAAAGGATATTGCTAAAGAGCGACATATTCCCATTGTTTATTCCAAACACATTCCCATTTTCATTCAGATTAGTGTAAAATATAATCCAGAAAAAGATAAATATAAATATAAATATTATTTGAGAGTATTTGATAAGTCAATCCACAAGATATATTTAAAACCATAAAACTGTAAGAAGGAAACTTTTATTATTTCTAATAAATTTATAAAGGTAGGCAGAATCTTCTTCAAACTACTTCACAAAATCTGTAAACAAGAACAGAATTGGTTCACTCAAATGGAATAAAAAGGATACAAAGGCTAGCTAAATGACCCCAAAAGTTTTTCACTCAAGGAAGAATGAGCTCAGTCACTAGTAAGATTAGACAAACAGCATCCTCAAGACCAACAAAGCAGATCTAATCCCAGGAATTACAATTATTTATATATTAATACATGTAATTGCTCTACTACCTAACAAAGATGGCATCACAATTCTCTGTTGAGCTTGGATGATTTTGGAGAAGATTGAAGTTGAGAACAGAACTTTTTGAGAAAAATAAGAAGGTTTAAGAGATGAAAGTGGTAGGATAATGGATTTGGAATTACAGTACATCTAAAAGACTTTAAGTACAAAATTTATACAACTACATAACAGCGAAAAGACAAGGCAACAAAGAGAACATCGAACCCATACCAAACACACATCCAGACTAAAAATTCTTCAAGACTGGAGCAGGATATTCCAAAATTCCAATTAGACATGACAACCAAATGCTAGGAATCATGGCAAACCTTACATTGTATGTAAATCCTGGAAAAGATACCACTCCCTGAAGCATTGGCAGTGGTGCATAACTTGAAGAACCTTGCCAGCGTGCACCAGAAATAAAAGAAGCTCTGGACAAGGGATAGGGCATCTGACCAGGAGTTGTAGGAGAAGGGCCGGGAGGATAAACAGTAGAACCACGTGAAGAGACCATCATGTTAGAAGGTTCGGGATGATGAAATTTACAAGTACTTCCAAACTTGCATTGTGCAGTTCTCATGTAATATGTACATTCATTCTCATTCTGCAGGTAAGAAAAATCATATATTATAATATTATCTGAATAAGATTCAGAGTACAACATGACAAAGAAAGGCAAACTGTCAGCTGCGTCGATCCTTATTATGACCATAACAAACTTAGAACATCCAGAGAAGCAATTGCACATCTAGAATGTAAGGACAAAAAAACCATTTGTTAGATGTCTCCTCTGAGTTAAGCTTAGCTATTCTTTTGTCCATGTCCATTAAAAAGACTCACAAGTATGAAAGGTCACTGCAAGCTCCCCCCCCCCCCCACACCCCCAACAACCACAAATATTGGCTGTATTTAAGTGTTCATCTTTGCAAGTAAAGCAACATCTAACCAAAGTAACATTTTAAAGAAAAGGAACAAGAGGAACTAAAATGAAGGTTGAGGATCACAAAATTCACCATCAGCTTAGGACCTATTGCCTACATTTGGGTAACTATTTCAGTTAATTTGACAAGTAGAACAGGTATGTGTCACAATCACGGGGAGGATGTGCACCATCCGTTACTACATTTCGGGCTACCAACAGAGTTTTGGTCCTTAGTATATTCCCCATTTAGTATGACGGGTACCTCCTACAATAGTGGCGGAAGTGATGGTGAGATGAGGGCAAGAAAGATGGACGTCAAAAAGAAAGAGATGGAATACAGCTCCTTATTGCATATTTTGGATGATTTGGAGAAAAAGAAGATTAGAGCTTTTGAAGGATTTGAAATTCACTATGGAGAATTAGAAGTTGTCCTTTGTATGTATTTTGGTGTAAAAGGAATACAATGTTTTGTATAAATTGCTAATTGGATCTTTTGGAGGGCTTAATTTCTATCCTTTTGTATCTTTTGTAAAGTTGACACCGTCTTGATATCAATAAAAAGACCTTTTTGCATAGTAACAAAAACAAATTTTGACAAACAAAGAGGTAATGAGGTCAAACCGGGCGAAGTGGATAGCCCAAGACATTTAGGGTAACTCTTCCAGCAATTCCAGCCTTGTTTCTAGGATGGTGAAACTTGCATGTGGCTCCAAACTTGCAAGTTCCAGTCTTCAAGTAGTACTGGAAAATAGTTCAATAATTCAAATTGTGAGCGATATAGATTAGAGGGGATTAACGGAAAGAATGGAAAGTCATAAGAAACCAATTATCACGCGAAATAGGAACATCAACAACTATAAAAATAGACACTCAATTTAAGTCAAGTTGATTTAATTAATTTTATAATTCGTGCATCTCAATAAAACTACAGATACTAAGATCTTCATATTTAAAGAGAGTGAAGCAGATAAGAAGTAAAACAACTTAGAAGGTGAAAAAAGGTCAATAACACAGTCAGATCTTCATTATGAATCTTCTAACAATGGGTTTAGTTGTGATTCTCAACATATCCAAGAAGGTGAAAACCTTCAAAGTCTGAACAAGCATCACATAGTACGGCCAGATTTTCAATAAAGAAACCAGCAGGTGTGAGTATTTTACAATACTTGAGCCAAAGACATATAAAAACAACAGCTCAGATCTAATGAAAAAAAAATTAATGAAAGAACTTAAATTCTTGAAAATTAAAGGACGATGTAATCAAATCTCGTATCACATGCCTCAACCAGTGTATTACAAAAGAAATAAGCGATTTCAAAGATGCTAGGTACTTTCCAGAGGAGAAATTTTACTTTGCGTCTCACATGCCATATCATACTTGTGTGAGACTCTCCAAAGTTGGACAATTAGACTAATGGGTCCCACTTTTAACACCATTTTTCTCTCTCTTCTAATTCGTATTTCTCATCCCAAACAGCCCCTTTTAATTTTCTTTTTTTTTTACTCTACCAGAAAATTCTTCTTCACTCTCCACGTCAGAATCCCAAGACATCACTTTATTTTTCCTTAGCACAAAACTCGTCTGTGTAGAAGAAACAACAGCTCTTGGGGAATAATATGTGTGACAATGGAAAAAGGATTTACTGGAAATGGGTTTAAAGTTTGTGAAGGGGATTGTGGAACAAATTAGGGTGAAAAAGTTACTCCAACCTATTTTTCCTCCCCTGTCAACTTTGGTTCTCTACTTCTCCGTTTAATTTTCTCCATTTCAAATGTAATTTCAAATTATTATTAACTAATTGTTAATGCTATCTTTTTAAGTATGTAGATTGATTTTTTTTTAAAGGAATTTTTTTTCATCGCCCGAAAGAACCCACCACGAAACAGTTAGAGCGACGCAATATTAATTGAGTAACTGTGGGTATGAAATCTGTTAAGAGTTAGAATTGGCCTTTTCTGGTATCCTTAAACAAAATCTCCATGTTTCTTGCTTTTTATTTTTTACCAAATAATGATGAACAATCTTAAGGATATCAATTTTACTGCTAAAAAATCTGATTAAACTACTTTATCAATTTAGCTGCGGCTAGTTTTAGATGAAAAGCTTTGTGATTTTATGAAATGCTTTCATCTCTTTTAAAAACAGGAGTGGGGAGAACTAAAAGAGCGAGAAAACGAATTTTTGTCCAAGGATGGAGACAGAGATATTTTGGAATTTTGATGTGGAGAGTGAAGGAGAATTTTCTGGTAGAGTAAAAAAAAGGAAAATTAAAATGGGTTGTTCGGGATGAGAAAGACCAATTAGAAGAGAGAGAAAAATGGAGGTAAAAGTGGGACCCATTAGTCCAAATGTCCAGCTTTGGAGAGTCTCACACAAGTATGACATGGCATGTGAGACTCAAAGTAAAATTTCTCCTTTCCAGAGATATTAACTTTTTTTATAAGGACTTTCTAGAGATTTTAATTAAACCACAAATTTGCCAAATATCCTGACTAGAATCAAGATTCAATTATCAGCCTCCACAAGAACAACGGGAAGAAGCAAATAAGGCAGTAGATCAAACCATAATGGAACAGGCACCCTAAAAGTTAAATGGGGACAGCAATTAGCATCAAATCATACATGTTTATTTAAGTACTCTCATCCATAATATAGATATGTTTATTAAAGTACTTCCATTCATAAGTTCAATCTTTTTAATGATGAGCCACAAGGGACAATATTGTTACACTTCTGTTAATTGCTTTTTGCACTTTCCTCTACAACAAGCAGATATAAGACATATGGACCTGGCAACAATACCTGGCATTCTAGTTGTCCTATTCTTTCTGGATACTCTCCGTTGATACTTGCTGCAGCAAGGGCCTACATCAAATACTTCTCCACATCCATAAGTACACAAAATATGAACAAAAGGATATATACAATTCCATAATCATAAATATTTAAGCATCCATATAAAGTCAAAGTTTACAGACACAAGTTAAAATTATTACAGTGAGATGATGCTTGCTCCACAAGAGTGGGTTACTCTAGTGGTGAGCACCCTCCACTTCCAACCAAGAGGTTGTGAGTTCGAGTCGCCCCAAGAGCAAGGTGGAGAGTTCTTGGAGGGAGGGATGCCGAGGGTCTATCGGAAACAGCCTCTCTACCCCAGGGTAGGGTAAGGTCTGCGTACACACTACCCTCCCCAGAGTCCACTAGTGGGATTATACTGGGTTGTTGTTGTTGTTGTTGAGATGATGCTCGCATTTATTGGAAAGAAAAATATGATTCCGACTTGATATCACATATCGCATCACATACAGGGAAACTTTCTTTATAACAGAAAATATGTCATGATTAGCAAGTCCAAGGTACAAGTCGTATGGTGTAGATTTTGCACTAGTGACTAGCCTAACTTGTAACATCCGTCCCTCCAACTGCTCTTTCTTCTTTTCGAATAAGAGTTCGTCATTAACCAAAATTATACTAGGATCTTCGCTCCTCAATCCTTTATTCAAATAACTCGAGTTTTGAAAATATAGAAACAACTTAACAACTGAAACTTAAAAGGGAAATTTTGACCTTCAAAAGCTTTCCATAAAGAACAACAAGGGAAAGAAAGAGAACCCCTATAACATGTCCCTTTACATGCCTTCTTGTAGAAAAAATATAGGCTTGCAAACAGCATCACCATGTCATGAACCATTGGAGAAGGAGAGACTCGTAGCAGAACTTCTCTTATGTAGTTTTTTAGAGCTGCATTCTTGGGAGATTCTTCAATGAGATCATTGAGATCCTAAAAAGAAAAATATAGACCGACCAATTTGCAGTGACTTTATGCTGACCCCCGGCCCAAGTCCCCCCCCCCCCCCCCACACACACAACAAAAAAAACCAAAAACGTCTTCCTTCCTATCTACACAACTAGTACGTACTCACGTAGTAGGACGAGAACGT